GCATTTCTGTTTTTCAACTAGCAACTCAGCTAATGTTTTTTATATACAGCAGTCAGACCTTCCTTCCTGAGACTTGAGAGCCTTACCCAGTTTCGTCCCTTCTTCCTGGCTCTGAAGGTCAGTCATGGGACTTACAGAATGCCAGGGGAATTCTCCCAGAACTCAGGATGGGGTCCCCCAGGCCAGTCCCCCTTGCCTTGCAAAGAGTTGTCTCAAAGGCTCCCCAGCAAGTCAGGCCAAGCAATGCCCTTCCCGGGGTCATGCAGCTTCCTGGTCAAACCTCCCTAGTTTCCTGAGCAACGTCTAGGAGGGCGGAGACAAGGCAAGGACAAGGCAGGGGAGGTGGGGCCCCAGGCCCTACCCCTGCTCCGGGGCTCAGAGCCTAGAGGGGAAGATCTCGGGAGGTGGGTTAAGAGGAAGCAGTTCTCTGGAGCGAGGGGAGTTAGAGGCGGCTGGAGTGTTGGGCGGGGGCAGAGAGCTTCATTCTGGATTTAGCTCAGGAGTACAACTAGTTACCAATGGAGGAGACAGGAGGGCACTCCTGGTTGAGGGGACTGCGGGAGGAAAGGCAGACAGGGCCTGATGGTATCACCTGGCACCCTCTCCAGCCTCACCAAAGGTGGACAGCTGGTTCTGCCTGTGGACTAGGCACTGTTGTAAGCACTTTTACATAATTCCTTTGTTCAGTCCTCAGAACAACCCCGTGAGACAGATCCGAATATTTCCCTCATTTTATAAATGAGGAAACGGAGGCACAGAGTGGTTATACAACAGGTGTTTACTAACACGGAGATGTGAACACGGAAAGTAGCAGGGTAACCACCGGCTACCTTTACAGGAGAAAAGGTTCGGAGAGGAGGAAGCACGGAAGAGGAAGAGGTGACTGGGGAACCCAGGGAATGGCCTGGGGCTTCCTTCCTCAGTCCTCTCATCCCTTTAGCCCCAAGGAGCCCCGCCACTGCCCGGGGCTGGAAGCCTGGGGGCCCGCTCCACAGGGCAGTCCAAATCCACCCCGGCCGCCCTGCAAACGAGGATGTGGCCGTGGCCCAGCCCTGGCTCCTTGCAGCCTCAGGAGAGGTACGATACCATCCTTCCTCAGAGTGATGGTGGGCTTCAGCGAGGCCTTCTCAGCCCAGGGCGGGTGTGCCTTCTTACCACCAACCTCCCACTCCCAAATCCAAGCTCCCCAGATCCTCAGGGGTCTGGTGCAAACACCTGACAGGTCTTGGGGCTGCCAACAGCCCAGACAGGAAGCTCCCCAGGGGGAGCAGAGGATCCCTGCTGACCCACTCGAGCCTCATGGAAACAGAGGTACAGATGCAGGACATAGGGAAGGAAACACAGGAGCTCCGGCTGGACGATCCCTTGGGAAGGGCAGGAGTTTGGGACAGCTTCTTGCAGGCTCCAGGGTCAAGCCTTTGGGGATCCTCCATCCATTTCCACACCTTCCAGCACTGAGCACCTTCCCTGGGACTCTTGCCAGAAATTCAAGGTGCCCGGGCCCAGCCCTGGATAGCGTGAGCTCACAGGTCGGATATCTGTACCTGCTCCCCCAGGATTCTGAGGCCCAGCCAGGTCAAGAGCCACAGCCCCCAACTCCCCAGGGAAGGGGTCCCCATTACAGCACGGCTCACAGGGACCACCCACCGCATTGCCTGGATTCTAGCGCCTGCAGTCAAGTCTTTAATTCACTGGAGGGGCCGAGGAAGACCTCGGGCCAGCCCCCACCCACTGGGAAACCCTTTGTAGAGCAAATAGTCGATTTTGTATAACAAGTGAACAACTGCTCCCCATTTCCTCTTTTGGGTAAATCTGAATATTCAGGGTCACTTAAGGCCAGGTACACCAGGGTTTCCATGGTAAAATGGTCCTCTTCACCCATCGTGCACGCACACACACACACACATATATCACACACGCGCGCGCCCTTGGTGTTACCATGCCCCAAGAACAGCCTGGTGTGAGAGGAGGGGTCAGGTCCAGCAAATTCTTGGTAGACAGGCAAACTCTTCCCGACTTCAATCATGCTTTCCTAATCTCCTCCAGGGACCTTTCCCACTCGCAGCCCCAATCACCTCGGATGGACGCTTCTACCCGGGACTCAGCAGCGGGTGACCGTGATTCACACAGTAAGCATGCGGAATTTGTGGTGTGTTGTTTTCAAATGTATCAGACTAGATGCTCCCACTTCCTACCATCCCCCAACACCTGCCCCTAAGGGCAGGGTCTGGGTCGTCTCCCTTCTCCATGACTGACGGAGACAGACCCAGGTTCAAATCCTACCTCAAGCCACGTTAACCTTTCCATGCCTCAATTTCCTCATCTGCAAAGTGGGGTCAATGGCAACACCACCTCGTGGGGGAGCTGTGGGAATTAACCCAGGAGTGCATGCAAAGCTCTGGAGATGGCATCTGTCACCGAAAAGTCCTCAGCAGATGTCACCATGAGTGCTAGCTTGGAGTCACCGGGCCACTCTAGATCCTTCTGCCTCCCGCACCCCTCCCCTCTCCCCTCTCCCAACCCTTCCCACCAGGCCCTGGGTGGGTCCTCAGAATATCTAAATCAGGGGGCTGCATCTGCCCCAAAGAAACTGATTTAGGGGAAACTCAAGCAAATGAGATGATGGCTGGGAAAGGTTTTTATAAACTGTCGAGTGCTCCCCAAAACACTAGCTTGCACGGCAGGAGCTGAGAGGAAGACCCCACACAGACTCCAACCACTGGGCCGCTGACTGAGACCAACCAACTCCAGAACCCAGCTTCGACAGATCAGGCTGGGCCTGGCTGCCAGGCGGTTTGTGCACTGGGTACAGAGGGTGTGGTGGCCATGGCAGCCGCCCTAAGGGTGGGGATCAGCATGGGTGGGGCGATCCCCGTAGGGACTTCCCTGAAGGGTGCAACTGAAAAAGCCGCTCCAAGAGGGGGCAAAGCAGTCAGACCCCCAGCCTGCTCAGCTCAGGGGGCTTTCATGGGCTGCTCTGAGGTCTGGGGGCAAGTTTGGGCTGCAGCTCGCTGATTCATCATGTGTCCAAGGCAGGATAGTCGAATGATTACAGACTGAGTCGCTGACATTTGCTTCACCTCCCTAAGTCTCACATTTGTCCCTTGTAAAATGTGGACCATGGCCTGGGAACAGGCATTTTAGCAGATTTCCTCAAGGGGAATCCAGTTCCAGCATGTTGCTTCAGGCCACTGTGATTCCATGACCCCAGTCTCACCGCAGGGTGGCTTCCTTCCTTCCATCAGCACTGGCAGAGCATGAACCTACTGTCCGAGTGGCAGGCGCACAGGGCTAAGCCCATGCCCAAAAGGCCTACCCGCCTTCACCAGGCAGCTCCATCTTCCCAGCTACAGACCCCAACCTAGGCCACGACCCTCCTCCCCACAGACCCTCCTGCCCACAGACCAGAAACTGTCTCCAAAACAAACCTATGCTAATGAGCTGCTGCAGGGCTGGCCTAAACATCTGCTCAGCAGAAGTCCCACTTCAGACCCCACCAGCATCCCTGCCCAATACCGCAGCCTCCGACCCCTGGGGCTGGGGGTGGAGGGAAGGATCTAAACTCAGCCTTAAATTTCCCTTTAAAAGAATGAGAATATGACCCTGGCTAATGTAGAGCACCTACTCCCCCCCATCCACCCCTCCAACACACAAGCCCAGGAGAAAGAGGGCCAGCTTGCAGGGGTGGGGAGAGCGGGGTGAGGGTCACCAAGGAAATGTTCCAGACTCGCCTTTTCTTCAGTCCCAACTAAAGACAAACCACACCCAAGCAGTCCCAGTGTCTGGGGGAGTTTCAGGAGGCTGGTGGCTTCCACAGTAACACAGAGTGAGGGGCTCCTTGCTGACAAATTGCTTCCCCACCCCCATCCCCTGCCAGCGCCCAGTCTTTGGCCTCCAGCCCTGACCTCTGTTTTCCCGGGGTTCCCGTAGTTACAGGCTGTTGTCCTCCAGCTGGGCAAGGGCCTCAAAAAGCATGAAAATACGCCCTATTCCCCTGATGCCCGCCAACCCCCTGGCCACGCCAAGGCAGGCAGCTGCCCCCTTTACTGCCGCTTGTAAAAGATCAGAATCGCCCCGCCCAAGGAGCAGGGCGGGCAGGTGGCCGGCAGCAGGGCCCTGTTGTCCAGGCCGCCTCGCGGGGGTGGAATTCTTAAGAAAACTGAGCCCCCGGAAAGGCTGGCTCCCCCTACCCTGACTCAATTCCAGGGGGATGACCCAGGCCAGGCCCCGGGGGCAGGCGGAAGGTAGGGGGAGGTTTTCGCCTCTTCTACCCAGTCTCGGAAACTGTTCATGAACTCCACCGGGGGCCCGTGCCTCCAACACGGCGGGATTCTCTGAATTTGCGGGTGGGGTATCAGGGAGATGCAGAGACACAGGGGGGAGAGACCCCCCCCCCCCCGAGGGGCAGACAGGAGAGACAGAGAACACATACAGGCGGAGGCACAACCCCAGGGAAACGGAACAGAAGGGGAGAAACAGAAAGGGACAGACCCAGGGAGGGACGGAAACGGCAAGACGGAGAGACAGGCGGACAGATGGGGAGACAGAAACGGAAAGGGAGACAAAAAGGAGGCAGAAACCCACAGGGCGGAGGGGCTAGCACGCAGCGCGGCGAGGCCCGGGCAGAGGCGGGGAGACGCAGGAGCCCCGCGGCCGAGCTCCGGGCGCTGCCCAGGCGCCCGTGCGGCCCGACCCGCCCTGGACCCGCCGGGCTCTTGCTCGGCCACGCATCTCCCTCCTTTTCTCTCTTGGCCGCGGAAACTCCTACCAAGAAATGGAAACCCTAGGCGAGCCTGGGGACAGGCATAGGGCGCAGCGCTGCTTCGGCCACCCCGCGGCGCGCCCACGTCCCCAGCCCCGGCGTCCGGGGGCTCCCGGGCTTGGCGGCGGCGCCTCTGCGCGGTGCCCTGGGACGCTGGACGGGCCGGGAGCGCGGCGCTGCCCCTGCGGCCGAAGCCTCTGGAAGACGGCGCCCGCGTGCCGGCCCGGGCGGGACTTACCGCGCGCGGCGGCGGCGGCGGCGGCGGCGGCGGGGAGAGCGGCGCGCCCGCCAGTTCCTGCGGATCTGTCTGCGGGCCGCGGGGTGGCGGGCCCGGCGCCCCCGGAGGCTCGGGGAGGCGGCCGGCTGGGCTGCGCTGTGCGCCGTCTGCTGCCCCGGGCGGGCGGGCGCGCGGTGCGGGGGAGCGGGAGCCGAGCAGCTCCGACGTCAGGGGTGTCTCCGCTCCAAATAGGGAGCGAGGGCGGGGGCAGCGGAGGGAGGGACGCGAGAAAGAGCGGGCGGGAGCGCTCGGCCGCTCCCTCCGGGCTCGCAGGAGGGGGCGCCTCGGCCGCCCGGGGCCCAGCCCGGTTCCTCCGCCCAACCGCGAGCCTGCGACCGGCCTTCGGCGGGGTCCGACGGCGCGGCGAAGCTGCCCGGGCCGCCCTGGCCGCCTGAAGCCCCCCGCCGGCTTTCTCCACGCTCCCACTTCTCTCCGCCTGACTTTCCCGGAGACTGGGCCGTCAGGCCGTGCCAGGCCTCGGAGTGACCACGATGGAGGGTTCCTTTTTGTAGGAACCAGGCACTGCAATCTTGCTCCGCGAGTGTGGCGCTTCAGCCCACCGAGGCCCGGCACCAGGAGAGTGCCCTCACTCCGCAGTTCTGCGATGCGCCCACCCTGTCCGCTCTCCGGCATGCGTGTGCGTCCAAGGGGCAAGTGGGTTCTCCTGGGGCCCTAATGTCACTCACCCTCTGCCTGCTTTCCCTCAGCTCAGGCGCTTGGCCCAGGCATCCAGAGAACAGTCTGAGAGGCCCAGGAAGGCCTCCACAGAACAGAGCGCCAGAAGTGGACGCACTTCTCAGGCTCCTGGGAGGAGCAGAGCCCCTAACCAAAGCCCGGCCTCACCTCGGGGGGAGACCCAATTAATCAGTCCACACTTGGGGCACTTGGGTGGATTGCGGTCGTGCCCTCTGTTCTGTGCTCAGTGGAGCGAGGAAACAGTTTTGCTCCTGGAAAGTAGTGGTGGGACCTGGGAGATTTTTCTATCAGCTGTGCAGGTAGGTCCACATTTCTCACCCCAGCCCAGCTGTAAATCCCAGAAGAAGGAAGGCCTGCTCGACTGATGTCACAGGTTGATCATCCTGAGGGGCTCTTAATGGCCTGCTGGTAACCCCATTGTGGACTCTGGCCTAATTGCCCTCTCCAAACCCAACGTTATCTCCGTGCCTCCTCGCACTTGCTTATGTAGTTCCCTTCCCCTCCTTTCATCTCTGGAAAAGGCATTCTTCAAACGCCAGATTAAAAAGGCTTCCCAAAACTCTCAGGTTGCATAAACTTCCCCCGCTCCCCCGTGTGACCCTGGAGCACCACATGTTAGTGCTGATTTCCCTCTACACTAGTTGTGCACACCTCTTTCCTCCATTAGACGTGGGCTCCTTGAGGGCAGGGATCATCTTGTGTATTGCACCATCCCTGATGTTTAAGGAGGGGCCAGACCAGGTATACAAGACATTTGGCTGAATGAAAGTAGTTATCTCCCCTGTATATGTGTTTCCACAAGGGTAACTCTAAGGACAATTGTATAGCTCATACATATTGAGCACCACAAGATGCGCTAGTCCCATTCTAAGTGCATTCCACCCGCACAATCAATCAGAGATAAGCAGTACTGAAACCCTTTTTTTGTAAATAAGTGAAAGAACCAAGGCCTAGAGAAAAGTGAAGTAACTGGCCTAAAGTCACACAGTAAGAGGCGACACCGACTACTGTCTGTCGGATGACAGCGTTCCACCAAGCCTAGCCACACTGCAGTGTACACAGTAGCTACTCAGGAAATAGTTACCACTTTGCCTATACTGACTGCCACTATTCTCATGTGGAGTCTGAGTAGGGTGGAGAGTGGAAGTCTACACTTTGTGAGAACCCACTTCCACACTGCAGGATGCTAACTGTGTAGCCTAATGAGCTTGATGGAATACATGGAGAGCCCGTAGAAGCCTCGACAGTCCAGCCACCACCCTCTCAAACACAGGGAGGTTCTAGAACAATTCCAATTGCCTAATCGAGGACATAGGGTTTGGGGTTGAGTCACACATGTCTGGTAAGGACTGGAAATTACAGGAGAGCTACCATGTGGTCAGGGAATCTGGAAGGTGACTTAATAATATCAACAGCTACATTATGTACCAGGCATGATGTTTAGCATGATGCCTGCTTTATCATTTCAAATCCTTACCACAATCTCGACATCATCCCCATTTTACAAGTAGGAAAAAGAGGCCTCAGAAAGTTTGGTTACATGACCAAGAGCACAGTAGTGACTGACACAAAGGTCAGACTTGAACCCAGACCCATCAACTCCTAAGATGCTGCTCCTTTGTCCACTACTCACCTTGGCAGCCTCCGAGCCCCTTCCCATCAGGCTGCAGTGGAAATGGTCCACCACTGGGACCTGGGTGGTGGGGGCCCTAGCAGGAATGGCAGAACCTGTCACGTCAGAATCTCCAAGCTCAGAGATACACCTGGTTGGCAACAGTGCAGCAATTGCCCCAACAGGCCTGGCTGGCACCGGGCACAGGCCTGAAGCCAGAGCCTGCTGGCCCTAGGCCAGCCTCTAGGGGCCAAGGTAATGTGGGGCCCAGAGCTGGGGTAGAGGGCTGAAAGGCTCTCTCCCCAGCTCATTAGCAAACATCTGGGCTCAGGAAAATGACCAACCTGGAATGTGACTGTGCTGTGGGGAGGTGCTCCCTCCCTGAGTCCCGGGAATGTGAGCTCCCTCCCGCAGGGCACCAGCTCAGGACAGCTGTTTCCTCTAATCCAGTCAGCCTGGCCTCGCCAGGGGTCCAAACCTCTGCACTCTCCTGGAGAAAGAGTGAAAACAAGCAAAGCCTTCCTTCCAGCCCAGCCCACTAAATCAGAGGGTTGGTGCTGGGGCCAGAAGAACCACAGTCCCTCCCTCCTCTATGAGATAAGACCAAGCATGTCCACACTTTCAAATTTGTAGCTGAGAGGAGCCACTGGGACTCACCTTGGAAAGTTCTGGAGTTTTCCTGCTTGGGTCTGAATCCTCGCTCCATCACCCACCAACTCTGGAACTCTTATGTAGTCGTTTCATGTCTGGGCCTCAGTTTCCTTCTCTGTAAAATGCAGCTGGTAATGGAACATACTCTTAAAAGCTGTCTAGACTCATTAATTCAACAAATATTTATCATGCCTACTATGTGCCAGACAGGCACATAAGTATCAGGGACACAGAAATGAACTACACCCATGAGGTCCCAGCCCTTGAGATGTTTCTGTTCTGCAACAGGGGTAGAGAGTATATAAGCAAGCAGATGACTGGGTTCTCATAATCAAAGTGTCATGAAGGAATTAAGTAAGCCCAAGTGGGTGATGTGATGGGCAAAGCCTCAGAAGATATCTCAAAGAGGTGACGTTTAAGACAAGATTATGATGGCAAGGAGCCAGGACTCAAGGAGATAAACGGATGCAAAGAGCTGGGCAAAATTCCTGGAAAATAGCACATGCTCCAGAAAATTAAAGCTATTTTAGGGAGGTCGTATTTAGCAGAGGGAAGGCAGGGAGTCAGTCACTGGATCAAACCCAGGCTTTAGCACAAAGCTTCCTCACCTTACTCAAATCATGCACTTCCTAAGCCTCAGGTTCCTCATCTGTAAAATAGGAATTTTAATAGTTCCCAGCTGCAGGCTTACTTCAAGAATTCACTGAGAGTCCTGTGCATGAAGTACAGAGCCTGGCATGTACTTTACTGTAAGAAAGTGGTAGCGACCATTGTTGTATTATCCTTTCCCCTGGAGAAAAAGGATTTGCCAAGTTCACTCAGCAAGTCAGGCACAGAACCAGATATTCTGACTTCGAGGCCACCCCTTGCGCTGTGTCCTCTTGCTTCTTCTCCTGCCCCTGGGGGCTCAGGAAGTCTCTGGCTCCCATCTTGGGCTCAGAGAAGGCTGGAGGAGAAGGGGACGATGCACTGTCAGGTCTGTCCCTGAGGGCTGCTGAGGCTAGGTGTGGCCTTGGCCAGGGTTGGAGAGCAGGAATGAGGCCCCAGGGGGAGGGTCTTTGGCCCTATGGAAAAATTTACAATGCCCTTTATAGATGGGAAGGGAGACCAAGAACCAGAAAGAGGCATCAAGGACTAAGAGTGGGGGAAGGAGGGGAGAGAAGAGGGTCCGAGATGAAAACTCAATTCTGGGAAATCCATCTGACTCCAAGGACCGTCCTTTCCACTTCCAAAGAGGCCATGTAGCAGGATGGCTATGGCTGCTCCTCATCTGTGGGCATGAACATACCAATGTTACCAAGAATGTGGCCTAAATGCCAGGGATGGCGTGCCAGTGGCTGCACTCACTCGCTTTGCTCTTCCTTTGTTTGCTTCCTCCCACCCACCCACGGGGCTGAATTCTCCAGTTTTCTTCAGCAGAGGTCACCCAACCCCAGTAACAACCCTCCCCCCGCCTTCCCAAGAGGGCACCAGAGCTGGGCTCTCAGGAAAGGGCCTCGTGCCTGGAATTCCTCCACCCTGCTGCCCATGGTAAACATGGTGAACAAGGTTGCCAGGGGGTGGGTGGCACTAAGCAAATCAATTCTTTGACAATGTCCCTTCTCAATTTTCAAACATTGTTTCTTCCATTTCTCACTCCCAGTGGCCCACACAAATCCACAGAGAGTAGAAGAATTTTTTTCCCTCCTGAAGTTTTGTGAATACTTAAAATCCCACAGAAGAGCTTTTTTTCTTAAGGTTTTTATGCTCCAGATAAAAAAATCTCATTTTATGCTCACTTTAAAAAATCCTTTTTTTAGGAACATGGGAAGTAGAAAAAAGGAACAAAAGAGTATCATCTGGGTGTCTGTCCTTCCCCTCTACTAAGGAACCAGCCTCCAACCACATCCACAAATAGACACGGGGCACCCCAGCAGCCGAGTTTGCTCTCCAAGAACCTGCCTTCTGGTCAGAGCGCCAGGCCAGGGTGGGCACCAGACCAAGCCTGGGCCAATCAAGTCCCCTCTCTGAAGAACCTGAGCTGAGAAGCTAGGTGGTGAGGAGCTGAATCACATCAGGGGCAGATTCTAGAGAACTCTGGCTGCTGAAGAAGCTACCATGGGCTTGGCTCTTGCCTTTCCTTGGAATCGCTGAGCTTCGCCAGTATCTTATAATCT